CTTGCATTTTAGAATCACACCGTACTTTGCTCCCTATAAGTCGCATCAGTCCAAATACGTCTAATAAAGTGGAAAAAATAAATAAATATGTCGCTTCGCCGTATACATCGCATCTATTATGCATCACCGCTGAAGGGAGCGTGCACGGGAGGACTTTAACAAGAATTTAAAAATAATAACACTTAAAAACAATTGCTTGAATGAAATTATAGAAAAGGTGTGTCTCAGTGTAACTTTTCCTTAATAAATGCACTTTCGCCATATAATCTAGCTGTTTTTGCTACTTTTTTGCCATCTTATTTTAATTTGTAAAAAAAAAAAATCTGTACACCTCTTTTATAACTGTCTATTGTTGTCGCTGTTGTCCACTGTTGTCATCTTTCTTTGTTGAAATCAGGTCTCTCTTGTAAATGAGTCCTCGAGGCTCAATGGGATCAACCTGTCTAAATAAAGGTTGAACGAACTTTGACGGTCAAATCATCTGTATTTCAAAAGCCAATTTGCAGCTGCGGGAGCATGAACAGGAGGACTCGCTGTGCATTTCTTCAAAACTTAACAAGATTAACACCTAAAACAATTATTTGTTTGCTGAACATTATAGTAAAGGTTTGTCTTAGTTGAACTTTTACCTAATAAATGCACTTTAATGTTCAAATCAGCTGCATTTCTCCGGGGCGGTGCAGCAAAATGAAGCTGATTTGACGGTTGCTCCGGGCGAGCTGGATGAAGGTGGCAGTCTATGGCAAGCCGATTGTGTCATTAATAGCCACTTTTACATATTACAAGACACAACAGCATGCCATAATACTCGAGTGCCATCTAGTGGCTGAAAATGGTAGTGTTCAATATTGTCAGTCAGAATGAATGAAAACAGTCATGTCTCAGCCAAAACTTGGTTTATAAATATTGGAAAAAAATAATAAATATGTTACTTCGGCGTATAAGTCGCAGGGCGTGCAATTATGCAAAAATATAACATGACTTATAGGCTGAAAAATACGGTAATCTATAACTTATCAGCTCGGTGCATTTGTGGCTGACCAGGAAATAGGGACTTGCCTTTGCAGCCATAATGTGGAACCATTTAGAAACAAAGCTGTAAGCAGATGGAAAAACAAAAACAGTAAGTAGTATGTTCCTTCTTTTGTTCCTGTTGCTTCCTCACTTTTAAATGTTTCACTTAATATCTCTCTAATAGTTTTGCAACCTTAAGAATGTCTGAGCTCGGTGGGTTATCGTGGTTTAACTTTTTTGCGCGTGTTTATTACACAGTAAAAACTCTCCTGTATTTTAACTGAAAAGTTACAAAAGGCACACATTTTCCAGTAAGCGTTGCTTTTTTCCATGAAGAAACCAGTTCTAGTTCTGAGTAAACACTTCAACTCCTTTTATCCTTATCCAGTTGCCATACCTTGTAAAAAAAATAAAAGCTATTTTCTCTCATTCTGAGATGAACTGCAGTTAAAACAAAACTGTTTAATAAATGTTCTCTAACTAAAACACGAGCAAAAGCTTTCTGAAAAGCGTGTTATGTACAAGCTGCTCCGTGTTACTGAAGATACTACGTTTTTTTGTGTTTTTTTTGTCTGTAACAGAAAACGCCCAAACATTCATCACACTAACTTCATCCAAACTCATCAGCAGTTAGTGGATCAGAATAATTTATATCAAAAGTAGTGCACAAACTCAAAAACACACGCACAGTCATCACTGTGCAGATCCACGCCTACGTATCGTTCCTTGTAGCTAATTTTGATTTGAATGAAAAGCAGTTTGTGCATTAAAACAGGCTGAAACTTGTAGTTTTAAAGAAAAGAACATGTGGAAAACATCTGTATAGCTCTGCTGCTCTGTGCTGTCTAGACTTCGATAGCCACACCTATCTCTTCAGTGACGTTCTGGGTTATCAAATCCAAAGCACTAACAAAAATATAGATCTTTGCCTCAGATCAAACTATTCTTCAAAACTTTGCATGCTGCATCAAAATGTTAACAAGCTACACAAGTAAAATAAACAACAACAAAAACTACTGTGTGTCCTGGTGCGCTTCATTTCAGATGATCGTGCTGTCATCAGTGGATTTAGTGGGAGGGGTTCAACATAGCACACTGGTTTGCTAACTGCAGGTAGAGTGCACTTTAGGGTCACACACAGTACACACAATTTATCATCATTACAATATCACTGAGTGCAAGATCAATACTGCACATGACGGCTGGTTCATGGAAGATATTAGAATAATCACCGGGCGTCAAACAAAGCAAACTACAGAGCAGTGATGGCTTGGTGTGTGTTTAGGTTGTCTGCTGTGTGCATTGATTGGTGATCCATAACACACACACAGGTTGGCCTCATTTTCTGCCTTTGTGGTGCCGTGACATGGATCCCTGGTTATAGCAACACAAATACAATCTGTTTCTGTGCACCGTGCTCCTTAAATGAGTTTACACTGGCTCTTACGCTTGAGACTGATCACGACCTGCTCCATCTAACAAAGCATAAAGTCATCAAAACGTCAAATGGGAGTTCCATGAAACAAACCACACCTGGACATGGACGTCTGGAGGAATAGGTCTGTCACACGGACAGTACATGTGATGAATCATACACACAGAAGACTGCAGTTAGTGTTAGTTCAAAACTGGGCTACACTTAAAGCAGAATCTTTAAAACACAAACTGTGATTTATTAAACTTTTAATAAATGTGTCAACATTTATGAGACTATTTGAAAAATTTGCCAGCATCTGGGCAGGATTAAAACTGTTCCAGTTTAAAAACCACGACTTAAGACAGCACTGAAACAGTTTTATATACACTTTTTAAACGTATCAATAAGGTTTCAAAACTCACAAACTGTTTCAACAGAGAGGGTTCAGGCTCAAATCGTTTAGTCAGGTCTGAACTGTTTCGTTTAGTCAGGTCTGAACTGTTTTGTTTAGTCAGGTCTGAACTGTTTCGTTTAGTCAGGTCTGAACTGTTTCGTTTAGTCAGGTCTGAACTGTTTCGTTTAGTCAGGTCTGAACTG